CCCCCCGCCCCTTCACATCAGGAGCCCTTCTTCACATCAAATCCCCACCTTCACATCAGAATCCCCACTTTCACAGCAGGAGACCCCTCCTCACATCAGAAGGCCCCCTTCACATCAAATTCTGTACAAATCAACGAGTGGCAGCTGCCCCACTTTAGATTTAGCCCTGCTGTGGGCAAACAGGGCTAAATGTAGAGCCACCACTTGTTTTGTACAAGAGATCACTTGTAGCAGCCTGCTTGTCCCCCATCCCCACCATGATTTTTGGGGTCCCCTGCTCTTCTGGAGGACCCGGACCACGGCAAGTGACTTCAGGATGGAGAGTTGGGAGCAGACCAGAGAATGTCCGTTCTCTGATGTGCTCTGTGTCATCAGTGAGAGAGGAGCGGTTAAGAGGGCCCCCCAGGCACAATATTTAAAGTAGGGATGTCCCGATACCACTTTTTCAAGACCAAGTATAAGTACTTTCCCTCAGGTACTTGCCGATACCAATTACCGATACTTTTTCTTAAAGGGACATGTGACATTTTTTCTAAAACAATGCAGACTAATGATTTTAGGGCTGTTTCTTTATAAATATGAAGAATTGTAACTCAATGTATGATTATACAGCAATGGAGAATAGCAACAAGCAATAGAGGACTACAGATCCATCACTCCCTGATTATACAGCAATTGTATATGGCTGTGTGTCGTCTCACCTGGGATGCATTTGGGTCTCACCAGGGCTGCACACTAGGGTCCTGCGATCTAGGAGCTCGTTGGGGCCCGAGGAAGAAAGAGCAGCCAGGGGGTGCCAATGTAGTGTACAGGGTTACTCTAGAGATTAGGGCTAGCTACCTACCTATATGCGTTATAATTCTTCATATAAATTTATGTTTTGCATTCTGAATCCAATAAAACCAAAGTATATGGGCTTTAGTGCAGCACAATGCACACATGTGAATGGCCTGTGCTTTGGTGTGTGCTGTGTTGCAGGTATGTTTTTAGTGTGTTCGGAGCTCATTTGATCTGACTAGGCTGCATTAAAGCAACGCTCCTCAATGCATAAAATGGTGTATATTGCCACACGCAAAGATGTGAAGGAGCCCTAAATGTCAACTACCAGTCATTTCTATCTCTGAGACACAAATGAATGCATGTGGTTGTTCTTATCTCCATCACCTCTCACAAGACCATCAAGAATGAGTCACCATCTTGTGGCTGCACTATCCTGTCATTTATTCTATTTTATGGGGGATACATTGGGAGAGACATTTTTAACTGCCAGAGTTAACAAGAGATGGAAGTGGGAAAGCCAGCAGGAGATTGAGCTCAGTTGGAGCTCCCCTTCAAAATAGCAAACCTATTGAAAAGCATTGAGCACTAGGGATGAGGACACAGCTGGAACTTCTTGGAAGGCACAGGAAGTAATTTGGGCATTGAGTGCTCTACTGTACATCAGCACTGAACTGCTGAAACCTATAACCATCCCAGTTCCACTTTGCAAACAACATGCCTTTTGTTTGGGTAACATTTTATATCACCCATATGTACCTGTAGCTGGCGGAGGGGATCCGGAGGAGCGGCTGTCAGTAGAGCGGCTCGGGGAGCAGGCTCCATCAGCGGCAGCTGGAGACTCAGCCAGGGAATCCAGGGACAGATAGGCAGGACGAGAGCGGGAGTCCGAGGCGGTCATGTGGTCCGGCAGCTGTAATACTGCGGCAGAGGGAGGTTAACAGGCAGCGCGCACTCAGCCCGTCATCCGGACACGCAAACTCCGGCTTTTCGTTTAAGAAAAATGTAGTGCCGGCATCGGCCTTTAGTACTGGGGGCATTGCCCTGTATCGGGCCCGATACCGATGCTAGTACCGGTAACGGGACATCCCTAATTTAAAGGAATTTTTCATTGTTATTGTTACGCTTTAAGTGATGTTAAAATCACTGCTCCCCTTACACTTTTTATGGCCAATAAATTGCATATAAGGCTTCAAAATGGGGACATTTGATTTTGAAAGTTCTACCCGCATAGACTTGCATTGAGTTCGCACCGAACACGGGGGTGTTCGGCTCATCACTATTTATAACTACTGAAACTTTTTTTATTACTATTTTTGGATACAAAACATTTTTCACTGAGCAGAGAAACTGCTCACTTAGCAGAAAAAAGTGCCCACCCTTGTCAGATGACATATGATAAGAACAGTGCCTGGTAAGCCCATGTGTTGTCAAGACTGACTGCTTGTTGTCCATGCATTGCCACAATTGTCTATTTGTTGCCCATATATTATAATTGCCCCATTTGTTGACCATGTCTCGTCACAATTGCCTATGTGTTAGCCAGATAAGATGTGTTCGCAGGGCCGTCCCAGGGCAGAGTGTCACCCGCAGCAGAGACCAGGTGACACCAGCAGTGACCTCATCGCGCACACACGGTCATCTAATTGACGCCTGCCGGCAGCCATCTTTGTGATAGACGCCAGCAGAGAGAGGAGGGGACGTTCACGCGGCGGGATGAGGTATGCCGCCGGGTCCCCTCCTCTCTCCTGACACTGTCGTGCTCTCGGTCCATGACCGAGTGCCCGACTTTTTAGAGGGGGATGACACCAAAATGACTGTAAGTCATTTTGGTGTCACCCCTCCAATGGTGTCACCTGAGGGCGGGCCGCACCCCCCTTGTGACACCACTGTGTGTTCCTATCAGTGTAGATTACCTTTTTTGTCCTAGTGATCACTGCCATTGGGACAGGAAGACCTGCAAGGAAATTCTAACCAATACCCACTGTACATAAAAAGTGTTTTTATTTCCGTCGTAAGAGAAGAGGGATTGCTGCAAGAAAAATGTTATGAGATTTCCTTGTTTTTAGGTCACTTGGCATATCTAGACTATAGGAATGATGCTGATTTACTAAAGAAATTGAGAATTTTCACTAAAATTGTGTGAATTTTCACTTCATTTATCCAATTTGGTAAAAAGTAAATTCCTTTGAATACCCAATCATGTGCAGATGTTTTTCACATGATTTGATTATTGACATGAATATACACACAATATTTTCATGGAAGATTTTCAACTCCTTTAGTAAATCAGCCTCATAGTCTTAACTTACTGCTTACTTATTGTTTTTCTTTTCTATCACTTAATTTGCCATTGGACACCACCCTGTTCCTTGATGCCAGAATGCGGGGACAAACCTATATTGGCATGCCTTGAAAAGTTACCATTAGTAATTGCCAAGCAAAATATACAAAGGAAGACTGCTATTTTTTAAAAAAAAAAAAAAAAAAGGTAACCACCGGGTCAGGGTTGTGAGGAAGAGGCCCTTATCCCCATCGGCACGGGGACACCCTCCCAATGCCGAGGGCACGTGGCCTGGTAAGGCGCAGGGGGGGGGGCGCTCGACCGTCGCCCCCCCTTTCCTGCCCTGCCGGGCCAATGCTTAGTAGAAATATGATTCTAGCACTTGCAATTTTTTATTATAGTGGCGTGCAGCCGA